ACACACACACACACACCCACCCGCACACACACACACACACACACACACACACACACACACAAACACACACACACACACAAACACACACACACACACACACACACACAATGAAGACCAACCTTGCCAGCCAGGTTTGCAGACAGGCTTGACATCAATGTGTACAGGCACGCTGTGCAAGGCTCTCTTTTGGCCACAATCCCAGGCTGTCACCTGGATCTCGTACTGCTGCTGGTGGTCGTTGCTCAGCTTCTCTGTGTTCCTGATGTTACCTGGTGGGGACAAAAAGGTCAACGTCAAATTGTTTTGATCAATTAACACTGTGGTGGAATATATAACCTCCCTTACTGCTAAGTTCATATTACCTTGACATGCTCTGTTCTGTATCTCTTTGATAACTGCCACATTGTGTAATCTGTTCTCATGATTCTTAAAGATGTATGTCTGCAACCTTGTTCCCATTTCATTTTGACTATGTAACTTGTAATTCTTTGATTGGTCATTCATATATCTTTCTACTATTTGGCACGCTCTTATTGGCTGCCTACGAACTCCACCGGATGTTTATAACTGTCTGTTTCCTGTTTCTGCTTTAGTGAGAACTTGACAGATGCTCTGATTCACGTCTGCCGGTTCTCACTCACCTCTCTCGCATATGCAACTTTTATTTAATCATTTGACGACCAAACCACGCTAGTTCACTTTGTTTCATTCTCGTGTTTCTGCTTAGTGGAATATTTCCATTACAAATACATACTTTATTTTTTTCACCAAGAGGAAATTCAAATGGCAAATAGCTTGTTTGACTAACAAACATTTCAAAATACAACAGAATAATAAAACGCAACACAACAAACACAAGTTGGTGGGTCGGGTAGGGAATCCCAGGCCATTAAAAAGTTGCATGACAGTGAGAACAAAAAAAAACAAAAAAAACAAGAAACGAAAGAGGTGAAAAAGTCTATTTGTAGGATGTGACTAGCTGTATTCTACTGATGAATACTGTAGTTGAAACACGCTTCCTAAGCTGATTTAATCATTTGTCAGCTGTTTGGTGATTGGAAAAGTCTTTTTGCTAAGACACTGACTTGAATTATTCCCCTCAGCACCCTGCTAGCCTTTTATTGCCAGTGAAAATTAATAAACATGTCCTCTTTTTACTCATTTATTTTTGCCCTTATCTCACACTAATATATTTAGGGCCTGAATGCTGTAAAGCTGTGGGATGGCCTATTGTTGTTGACCTGATTATTATCATAATTTTTTTTATCAGTCAACCATTTTGAATGAAATGCCAAATTAAAAAAAATCACAAATTTTGGCGATTCTCACATCTCATGCCAAACACTATTGTGTCCTCAAATTTGAACGCGTGAACTTCAAATTTGTAGCAACACTGTAAATTCTTTGAATTTGAAAAATTCCAAAATACATTGGCATCAATTCCTGAACATTGCCTTATGACAATGTCTGAAATTCCCCACTGCGCCACCTAGAGGTACTGCAAAAATACCAATTAGTGTTGGAATGTTATCGTAACAGCTTCAAAAATGCTGTGAAAAGTTTAGACCCTTTGAGAAGCAAAGACGATATTGATTATTCACAGCATTTCCTTTGGTCGTGTTTAACAAAACTCGACAGATAGACCAGTGACTGCTTTAGCTGGATGTACACACAATCTAGATTTCCCCTGATTGAAAGGGCCCTTTATTCTTTATTTATTTTTGATTTCATTCTTTATTTTACTTTGTTTTAGGGAGTAATTATAAATGCTCTGTACAGTATGAAGTAGATTTGACACAATTCACAATAAATTAAGTATAAGGCCTGAAAATGTACTAGGTCGGTATTATATATATAATTATCTAGTTGTCTTTTTGCTATTACGTGGAAAACTAGAGTAGAAAATATTTCTTTGAAAACAAAAAAGTAATGCCTAAGGCAGTGGTTCTTAACCTTTTTGACTTCGGGGCCCAATTTGTTCCACATAAAGTGACACGAGGCCCAGTCACACATTATCATATGGATCAAAATTATAATTATTCTAAATCTTGGTTTAATTTGTATTGTATTTGCATTATAACTAAATTAAATACACTTACAGTTTAAAAGTAAAATTCCTGCCAAATAATCCACAAGACATGATTATGACAAACATTTTTTTTAAATATTTTAACTTGTCCATAACAATTATTTGAACAAATACAACAGTCAGTCAACAGACCACTCAGGCT